CAGAAGTTATCTCAGGACACTTTTCAAATAGAGCAGGTCTAGACCGAACTCTTTAACATTAATTACAGAGACCCAACAGTACCACCATGAGCAAGCACTTGGAGACAAGGGCAAGGAAACACTGCCTGTTAAGAGGCAGAAACCTAGGACAGACCCTTCGGCTCTAGGTGGGTGGTCGTCTGTCTCGACCAGTTGAGAGAGAGAGAGAGAGAGAGAGAGAGAGAGAGACAGAGACAGAGACAGACAGACAGACAGTTGCACAGCAACAACAGTAGCAACAACTACACTAATAGTAGTGATAATGATGAACATGAAGAAGATGATGACGATGACAACAACAGCAATGATGGGGGACAATGAGCAGTGACAATAGTAATAATAGTAACTGTAGTAATAATAATATTAATAATAATAATAACACTAATATCAGTGATATTAGCAATTGCAGTCAAGCAGGACCATGGCAGGAGGCTCCACCAGGATCGATAAGAACCTGTGAGACGAGAAAGCACAAGAACTCCGGGGAAGAAGTGAAGTTAGTAACATGCATTAATGGAACATGAATGAGTGCAGAAAGAGAGAGGAAGAGAGGAGCTCAGTGCACCATGGGAAATCCCCCGATAGTCTAGGCCTATAGCAGCATAACTAAGGGATGGTTCAGGACTCACCTGATCCAGCCCTAACTATAAGCTTTATCAAAGAGGAATGTCTTAAGCCTACTCTTGAATGTGGTGAGGGTGTCTGCCTCCAGAACCACAACTGGAAGCTGGTTCCACAGGAGAGGAGCTTGGTAACTGAAGGCTCTGGCTCCTGTTCTACTTTTAGAGACTATAGGAACCACAAGTAGCCCAGCATTCAGAGAACGTAGTGTTCTAGTGGGGTAATAGGGTACTATGAGCTCTTTAAGATATGAAGGGGCCTGACCATGAAGAGCTTTATAGGTGAGGAGGAGGGTTTTAAATTCAATTCTACATTTTACAGGGAGCCAATGCAGAGAAGCTAGTACAGGAGAGATGTGATCTCTTGTTCTAGTTCCTGTCAGTACTCGTGCTGCAGCGTTCTGAATTAATTGGAGCGTTTTAATGGACTTATTGGGGCAACCTGATAATAAAGAGTTGCAGTAATCCTGCCTTGAAGTAACAAATGCATGGATTAGTTTTTCTGCATCTGTCTGTGATAGGATGTGTCTAATTTTTGTAATATTACGTAAATGAAAGAAGGCAGTCCTGGAGGTCTGCTTTATGTGGGAGTTAAATAACATGTCCTGATCGAAGATAACTCCAAGATTACTTTGCTAACTTCACGTTTCTGACTATGGAGCTGCCAATAACAAGAGTTGTTTCCTCAGTGGGTGTGTCACTGAGTGAGGAAAATTTATTAGAAACGTGAATCTGTTTGTGGTGAACGGTGGGCTTCTGCGCTTTGCAGCTATGCTTCTCCCAGACAGTCACCCACTCTCCCTGGTTTCCTGGCTGCTCGGGAACTACCAGGGGACGGCTAAAAGAAGCTACCTTCAGTCGGCCCGCACCGACTACTGGGGGCTGGCTAACTATAGCAGCTAAAGATAATTATGTGGTGCGGTACCGTACTTCTAGTTCACTTAGCCTCGCCTCCAATGCAATAAATAAACTACACTTAATACATGTACCATTATCACTAAGCAGGACAGAGCAGCAGATGAAGAGGGAGAAGCCATTGTTAACTGCTAATGTTAATGAAGCTAGCGTCAGTGAAAACTTTGAAAATAGCGAAAAGTCGCTAAAGAAGGAGAAACTCAGAGTGTTTTAGGTAGAACTAGTCTACGTTTAAATGTTAAGCGGGAAAATAACCGCTGTAACGAGTAAAACAAATGTACATTTAGCGTTCACTGACAGAGCTACAGCACCAAACAGTGTACACAGAGCAGGAGGTGAACCGGGAATGAGTCAGTACGCTTACCGTAGCACGTCACACGTTCCAACAGACTGCACTAACAAATTTGCTCACATCAGACAGGACCATCATACCATTCCTCCGGTAGCATTACTTACTAGAGTTACAAAAACTTGAACTCGTTTAGACTCCATTAAGAGTATCTCTGTGTGCAAAAGATAAAGACAAATGTTGCTTTGGCCTTCCAGAATAACAATATATAACAGATATACAATATAATATTTTACTTAATGTCTACATATCTCCATATATCTGTACTAAGTATTAAAAAGTAAAGTAAAAATTTTAAATTAGTTTGGTAATAGAGCAACAACTTTTATTCATACTAGGAAGTATAACGTACTGTTTGAAGATATAATTCAACTCTTCTTAATGTTGGCCATAGGAAGGCTTTTATTCTCCTTCTGTTTAACTGTGGAAATCTCTGATATCTGATGTTGTCACTGTAGAGGGGCTGAGATCTGACCATACTGTTCTCTCTATATATTACATACTGTACATCATATATTATATATGAGACTTTATACATTAGACATAATTTATTTTCATATTTAGTTCACAGTTGGAGCTCATGATGCAACATGTGTGAAACGTTCAGGTTGCTGCTGATAAACTCGCTGCTGGGAAACACACACATGTTCAACCAACCGACCTCACACCCACACTGAAACTCACTGACACTCACACACAGTGAAACTTACAGAAACTGCTGTCTTTAAAGTGTCCATTATTATTTAACATATACAGTATATAGAGGTATATGGTAGGGCTGGTTGCTGCAAGGACCATGGGTTTGACTCCAACCTGTGGCCCTTTGTTGTCATCCCCTCTCTCCCCATTGCATGTGAATCTGAAAAATATATATTAAGGGTTGGGGTACAAAAACATATTTAAAAAAAGATATAAACAGGATTAGGACTCTGTGAAGAGTGTTCAGTCTCTGATCAACAGCCTCGTCCTGCATCAGAAACCAAACAGCTGATAGATCAATGAGAATAAACAGTAAATGTGTCCATATTAATAATTAATAATAAGTCTGATCAATCAATCAAAGTATCAAAATATCAAGAAACACTTTACAATAAAGGGCAGCTAATGATTAGTTGATGACTAGTTAAGGATCACTTAATGATTATTTAATCATTAAATTAGTAAATTAAGAAACAAGTGAGGAAGGAATCAGCTTGATAATTGATGATGGTTGATAATTAGTTCTTTAATAATTCCTAATGGAGGACTGTACAGTCAATAATGATGAGATGGAACAGACCTTTGGAGTTCCTTTATTAATGAATGATTATAATGATTAGTTCATCAGTAGCTTTCTTCATCTGATCCAGCTGGTGAACAAAACTAGTAATGACTCATTCATTACTGATTAATTAAGCATTAGTTATTGTTTCTGTAGCCCCTACAGTAAAGTATCATACTGAGTGCTGACTAAATTATTACTTCATCATTATCTTTTAATTAATGATATCCTTATTCTACATACACTATAAACTACAAACTATTCAATTACATGCTAATTTATTATTTACTCTGGTATGTTTGTCATAAACAAATATACAATGGTTATTGCTGGGTAATATGAGATTGTTATTCATTTCAAACAAGTGTCTGCTTTCAGTTCCCAGTTCTCAGTCCCACTTTCTGCAGTTGTTCACTGTTTGTGTTATTTGTACCATTTATCAGCTGTTATTGATCAGTATTGATTATAAAATAATGACCCAGTTTACTCAGTGATAGAAGATGATGAATCAATGAATCCTCAGTTGTAAACTTTAGTGTGTTTGAAATCCTGACCTGTTCCTGCCTCCTCAGGTGAAAAACTCTCCGTCAGCTCCACCTGTCCAAACTCTCACCGCCTCTGATAACGCCTCCCATCTTGTCCAATCACGTCTCTCCAAGGCAGTATAAAAGCCGCTCTCTCAGACTGACCCGACATGATCAAGCCATGGCCTTCCTGTGGATCCTCTCCTGCTTCGCCTTCGCCGGCGCCGCCTACGGTGAGACAAACTCTTTAACGTCAGAGAGACTGAGTGAGGCATGCTGGGTAGAGCAGATAACAATAATTTATTGATTTATTTGGTTAATTTTCATATTTGTAGCTTTCAGATGAAGAAACCACTGAATGACACATTTTATTTAATAGACGTTCGGCATTATTAAATATAAAGTTACAGCACGCAGTGAGATACTGTAGGATAAAATATATTGTAAATATACTTTAATTACAGGCAGGAGACAGGCACAGATCTCTTTTACTAGCCTGGTGTCTCCATTAAAGGCCTGGTCTGGATTTTATAGCAGTTGTTTGAATGTATAAAACCAATTAAAGCTACACAAATATAAATGTTTAAACTTGCAATATGGATGCTACACATCATTAGTTCAGTAAGATTCTCCACAATTCAATCCAATTCACTTCATTTTACACAAACTATCAAATCATCAAATCATTAAATCAATCATTCCTAATTGATCTGATCTAATTTAATAATATTCATACTGGTTTGAATAAACAGTCTGACATTATTTCCATATTTGCTGAACAAATAGAATTAAAGGCCTGTGCCAGGTTGAGATCAGTGATTGAAGCAAATAAAAGGATTTTAAGATTTACGATGTAATGCTAAACATTTGTTGTTAATGATGTCACGATGATGTCATCAGGTTGCGGCTCTCCAGCCATCCCTCCAGTCATCACAGGATACTCTCGTATCGTGAACGGTGAGGAGGCGGTGCCTCACTCCTGGCCCTGGCAGGTGTCCCTGCAGGTAAACACACTATAAACTACTCAGACAGTTGGTTTATATTAATATACCGTATATATATATATAATGAAAATACAAACATCATTATGGAGCATTTTTAAACCAGCATAAAGACTGAATACAGTGTGATAATAAACTGACTGTATCTCCAGAATTTGTATTTATGGTCTTGTGCCCTTGCAAACCACTGCTTCAGACCAATCAGATGAAATGTTCTCATACTCGTTACCTCATTATGTTGGGTCTTTGTTTCAGGATTACACCGGCTTCCACTTCTGCGGCGGCTCTCTCATCAATGAGAACTGGGTTGTGACAGCAGCTCACTGCAACGTCAGGTACCTCCACCATGTCACCTTCATCATGTCACCTTCATCCTGCCACCTTCATCCTGCCACCTTCCTCCTGTCACCTTCCTCCTGTCACCTTCCTCCTGTCACCTTCATCCTGTCACCTTCCTCCTGTCACCTTCATCTTGACACCGTTAACCTGACACCTTCACCATGTCACTTTCACTCTGTCACCTTCATCCTGCCACCTTCACCATGTCACCTTCATCATGTCACCTTCATCAAGCCACCTTCATCCTGTCACCTTCCTCCTGACACCTTCATCCTGACACCGTTATCCTGACACCTTCACCATGACACCTTCATTCTGTCACCTTCATCCTGTCACCTTCATCCTGACACCTTCATTCTGAAACCGTTATCCTGTCACCTTCATCCTGACACCTTCATCCTGTCACGTTCATCCTGTCATGTTCATCCTGTGACCTTCATCCTGAGACCTTCATCCTGCCACCTTCACCATGTCACCTTCATCCTGACACCTTCATCCTGTCACGTTCATCCTGTCACCTTCATCCTGTCACCTTCAGCATGTCACCTTCATCCTGAGACCTTCATCCTGCCACCTTCACCATGTCACCTTCATCCTGTCACCCACATCCTGCCACCTTCAGCATGTCACCTGTAACTTTCACTGTATGAAAGTTTGAATCATTGTATATAGTAGGTAAAACATGGAACATGCTCTGTGGTCACATGAAGCTCCGCCTCCCATCTGGCCGCCTCATGTTTCTGTCCTTGTCCCTGCAGGACATCCCACCGCGTGATCCTTGGAGAACATGACCGCTCCTCCAACGCTGAAGACATCCAGGTCATGAAGGTTGGCAAGGTGAGTGACAAACAGCTTCTCCTCTCCTCACGCCATCTTCCTGCGCGTTTGCCTCTCATTACGATGTAATTTCCTATCAGGTGTTCAAGCATCCCCGCTATAATGGCTTCACCATCAACAACGACATCCTGCTCATCAAGCTGGCCAGCCCTGCCCAGATGAACATGCGTGTCTCCCCCGTGTGCGTGGCCGAGACCGGAGACAACTTCCCCGGAGGCATGAAGTGCGTGACCAGCGGCTGGGGCCTGACCCGTTACAACGGTGAGAGCACCAATCAGAGTGGAGAGCATGAAGCAGTTGAACCACTAAGAAGCAGCATCAGCTCAGACTGTGATGTGTTTGTGTTGCAGCTCCTGACACCCCTGCCCTGCTGCAGCAGGCCGCCCTCCCACTGCTGACAAACGACCAGTGCCGTCAGTACTGGGGCAGCAAGATTACCAACCTGATGATCTGCGCTGGAGCTTCTGGAGCTTCCTCCTGCATGGTGGGTGGCGAAGACATACAGCAGACATCACGGTGTCGATCCCCAGTTCCTCTGCTCATTCTCTCTGTTGTTGTTTCAGGGTGACTCTGGCGGTCCTCTGGTCTGCCAGAAGGGCGGAGCCTGGACTCTGGTCGGTATCGTGTCCTGGGGCAGCGGAACCTGCACTCCCACAATGCCTGGCGTGTACGCCCGCGTCACTGAGCTCCGCGCCTGGATGGATCAGACCATCGCTGCCAACTGAGCTTTCAGACAGCTTTAGTTTCAAACTGATCATCAATAAAAGACAGTAACTGTGAGACAGACAAGTCGTTGTCATTTGTGGGTTCAGACTGAAAGTAAAGAATGAATTCTACAGTTTGTCTTCCTCTCTGAGAGAAATAACAATAAACAACAGTTGGACAAACTACGGTCAGGGTTCCCACTCTTTTTAACAAATCATTTTTCAGGTTCTTTCCAGGACTTTTTCCCAGAGATTTCTTTACAGCACTTGCTCAAAAAGGTTGACACTGATCAGCAATAACACTGTGAGCACTGGACTCCCTGACTGGTCACAGACCAACAGACGGCTCTGCACTGTGTGTTCTGACCCCTTTCTATCAGAACCAGCATTAACTGTTTCAGCAGTTTGAGCTACAGTAGCTCGTCTGTAGAGCTGCAGGTTTGGAGATTTTCTGACCCAGTCGTCCATCACAATGTGGTTCTTGTCAAAGTGGGTCAGATCCTCACGCTGCCCATTTTTTCTGCTTCTAACATATCAGCTCTGAGGACCAAATGTTCACTGTCTGCTTGATATACCCCCCTACTGACAGGAGCCATGAGATAATCAGTGTTATTCACTGGCAGTGCTCACAATGAGCGATGTATCTCTGCAGTCAGTCAGTCACTTTCCATCTGTAAACCTGCTTTTTAGTCAGTTTACCCACCAACAGTTTCTGACTGAATCCACACCCAGGTTTACACAGGAGATCTGAACGAGGTGCTAAAATACCAAATATTTGAGGACAACAGAGATTATTTTCAGGATATTTGGTCATTTACTAGGCTCTAAATTTCCAGATTTTCTAGGTCTTCTAGGACTTGGAGTGTTTATTGACTTGCAGTGTTTATTGACAAGTGGAATATGAGAGATGATAAAAGACATACATGAATAGGCTCCAAAGGAAGAACGTTCTCAAAGCAACATTCAGAAACTTTTTGAAAGATTTTTTTTTTATTTTATCATCATTTATCATCTGTAATGTTAATAAAGGTAGAACATTTCGTATAGATGTTTTGTAGACGTTAATGAGGCAACCGATTGTGTCATAATATTCTAATAGTTATATAATATTTTAGTAAAATGTTGCCACAAAACATGTTATAATGTTTTAAGAGCATTTTATTCTAAAATAGCATTTTGGGATGTGACGACCCCTCGGCTCCACTAGGTGTTCTCGTCTGGGTAAGGTTAAATTGGCCTCAATGACCATTAACACAACCTGAGACTGAGCTACACTGATTACAATGACAGTCTGTATAATAAACAGTCTGTAGTCTCTGTGATGTACTCCTCAGGTTTGTGAAGAGCCGTTGTGAAGCTCAGTGTGGTCGGCTCTGGCCGTCGCCATCTTGGCAGTCCTGACTCCACCAGCTCCCGGCTGATCCAAAAATGGGCAAAGAAGTGGAGTGTGGGTGGAGTTGAGGCTGAATGAAACCTGGTTACTGAAAACAGCCACCTGTGATGTTATACAAAACTTCATCCCCTGTACAGTTGTCATCAATGGGGAAATTAGCTACAGAGACCAGAAGGCTGTAAACAGATTAATATGGGGCCTTATGGAGATTGACTCACTGCCGGGGCCTCTAGTGGACGTTAGAGGAACTGCAGTTCTTCAGATTCATTTGCAGCCACAGAGGTTGCTGATTGGTGGAAACTCAATATTCCATTACAGAGCAGTGATCTGAACCTTTAATAGTTAATCACATGGCTGCACGTTGCCACTGGCGGCAGTCTGTCTCTACAGCACTTAGCATTATCCATATCTCCACTCCCTACTCAATATCTCCAACACTAACCACAGTGATAGTTGTGATAGAGTTCCACAAGGTTCTGTACTTGGACCAATACTATTTACTTTATATATGCTCCCTTTAGGCAACATTATTAGGAATCACTCCATTAACTTTCACTGTTATGCAGATGATACGCAGTTACATCTATCAATCAAGACCGATGAAATTCATCAATTATCTAAGTTACAAACATGTCTTAAGGACATAAAATCCTGGATGAGCTGCAATTTTCTGATGTTAAACTCAGAAAAAAACGAAATTCTTGTTCTTGGCCCCAAAAACCTTAGAGACTCTCTGTCTAAAGATATAGTTACTCTAGATGGCATTACCTTGGTCTCTAGCACCACTGTCAGGAATCTTGGAGTTATCTTTGATCAGGATTTGTTTTTTAACTCCCACATGAAGCAGACCTCTTGGACTGCCTTCTTTCATTTACGTAATATTACAAAAATTAGACACATCCTGTCACAGACAGATGCAGAAAAACTAATCCATGCATTTGTTACTTCAAGGCTGGATTACTGCAACTCTTTATTATCAGGTTGCCCCAATAAGTCCATTAAAATGCTCCAATTAATTCAGAACGCTGCAGCACGAGTACTGACAGGAACTAGAAAAAGAGATCACATCTCTCCTGTACTAGCTTCTCTGCACTGGCTCCCTGTAAAATGTATTGAAAAGTGTCCTGAGATAACTTCTGTTATGAATTGGCGCTATACAAATAAAATATAATTGAATTGAATTGAATCAGCTTATTCCTTTTCAAAAAGGTATATGACTTTTTAACATTTGGGGGGTTTTTTTGCAAAATTTGCAACAATATTACTTATATTTAACGTTTGTCTGTTAGATGTTCTGTGAGTTGTTCTTGGAGGTCGTCTGAAATTTCAAATATACGTCTCCCGATCGTCTCATCCAAGTGCCATCTTAATTTGTGTAGTTTCATGCTGTCCGCTGCCAGAGTTTTTAAACATAAAACACACACAGGTCTTTCCTAATTTCCGACCGTATTCACGGTAAACCCAGGGCTATGTAGGCTTCGTCATATTTCCTGGTCTTAATAAGTTTATGCCGGTTACCGTCACTTGCTGTTCTTGCCTCTGACGCCTCCTCCATTTTTCTTTTTACTCCTGTCAGAAACTTCTCCATCTCTCCTCCTCCGTCAGTCACCCCTGCCTGTTGTGTCCACCCGACACCTCACTGCGCCCCCCCAGGGGGGCGCGCCCCACTATTTGAGAAGTACTGGCTTAGCATAAAGACTGAAAGTGGAGGTAACAGTTCGCCTTGCTCACACACAGAATGTTAACATTGCCACCTTTCGGACAGAAAACTGGTCAATTATATTTTCCTCATCAGTCGTTTATTACACAAAGAGCACATTTTATCCAACATGTAATAGAAAGAGCGTTGACGTAGTCCCTGACAGCAGCATTTATGAGTTTGTCTCCACTTTTCCTCAGTCGTCTCCTCTGTCGTCAGGTGTGTCTGGGTGGGCAGGTGTGGCCGACACGGCGGCAGTAGCAGATGGCATTGAAGAAGCGGCAGTAGCAGGTGTCACAGGGGTCACAGCAGGGCAGCGGGTAACCCAGACAGGACTGCTGGTGGGGGATGCAGCGACGAGGTGAACGCATGGCCCGACCCTGCAGCTGCAAGGCTGCTGACGAATCCTGGAAAACAGGAAGGAAGTGAATGGAAACAGGAAGCAGATATATTCACTGCAGTACCTGTTCAGAACAGGATGGTTGTTTGGCTCCCAGTAGTGCAGCTGCTTGAACTGATCTCATCTGATCCCCTCTCATCTGATCCACTCTGCACTGCTTCAGATCCTCATCAATACACTGCCGAGTGTGAGCTTGATCAGATTTAATGGCCCTCAGACACACAGATTCCTTCTTTTATAGTTTCTTCCCTCACAGTGTTGTTCCACCAAA